GTTCTTTTTAAAATAATGTGGCTGAGAACTTCAAGGACTCACACCCTCCTCTGAGGCTGCCCACAGCCTGAACACAGTCCCTTCTTAAGAGGCTGTAAACAGGGTCCATTCTTTAGAGACCCTGTCAAGGTCTCCTAGGACCTCACAGTATCTCCAGGGACCACTTGCTGCTACCTGCTCTGTGGGGACATTAATAATAATAACACCTTAGGAGGACTAACAACCACCACCTTGTGAGTGTGCGCAATTATCTTTAGTCAGCAGAACCCCAGGCTCAGGGAAGTGAAAAGGCCGGGGAAAGGTAGAGCCAGAACTCGAGCCAAGGTCTTGCAGTTCAGGAGGAAGCGCTGACCACAATGGCTGAAGAAGGTAAAGGGTGAGATCTGCATTTTCATCAGGCCTTAAGGGATGTGCTAAGAGGCACATTTTTTAAATGGAAAAACAAGAACAGGATGTTTTATAATCATGTTTTATAACTAGTTTTTAAAAAGTGAATTGGGTTCCCCAAGATAGAATTGCTGGATTTAGCAAATAAAAACAGGCAGCACAATATATTTGAAACACTTATACTTTAAAAAAAAAAAAAAGGTTATCTGAGTTTCTAATTTTACTCAACATCCAATATGCTAGCTGACAACCCTGGAGCAAAGGCCTTTTTGGAACAAACAAAAAACACCAATGAATTACAGTGCCTCAATTCCTCATGCTAAACCAGGATACCCTGTGCACTACATGTCTTTCAGAGGCTAAGTAAAGGGAAGTACAGGGGCTCAGCTGCTCCTGACAGAGCGTCTTCCTTTTTTTCTGGTAGCAGACACAGCCCTTGACCCCAAAGACCCGGCTTCCACTAACCAGGCCATTTAATTTCACTGCCCATCTCATTCCCAGTGCTTTCTCCATTTTGTACGGATATGGTTGGGATTAAACACAACTGAGGTGAAGGGAGATGACATACATGCCTCGAGTATTTCCTGCTCGATGAGAATGTTAGAAACATCCACAGGAATCTGGGTCCCCCTCCCACAAAGAAACAGATCAAAAATACAATAATTTTAACCGTTTATGGTGCATGATCATGATAGCTGTCTGGCTGTCTGTCTCATAGAGGAAGGGGAAAAAATGAAATCCAGAAATGTGTTCGAAACATAATGTGAACCATGGAAAATACAATGAGATGTCAAAGGTACACCTAGCAGAAATGCTGTGCAGTCATGGAAGGGTCTACACTTCACAAAAGCCTATGAGAACCCATCACTTTGGATCATCAATACTAGTGAATCACAAACACACAGAGAGAATACAATATAAAAAGACACAGAGCTTTATTTACACATACCAAACAAATCTCCAATCTCTGCCTAAATGTTTGCCTTTGTGTAACAAAAACACATTGAGACTGGCTTAGGCACTAGTCACTTAAATATGTTCCACACACAACTTTAATCTACAAACTTTACAAAACACGATCTACTAACCACGAATGGCTGCAAACAGAAACTGCTTGGCGAGGAGTAATCAACAGCTTTCTCTGTCATCTCCTAAACAAGGCCAAACACTGAATCACTGTGGAATTCCTCACGTGCAGCTACACCCAGTTAATCTTCAAGAAAGCAGCAAACTGTAAATCTACTTAAACTGGGGTGATAAGTACTTCCCTCACCAAAAGTGAGCAAGATTTTCTAAAACACACCTCTCTCTCAAAAGGCAAGCCCAGCTGTTAAAGAGAGACAGCCACACGGAAATTCTTAACATTCACTCACCTACTTCCAAAACCCTACGACAAGCCACCAGAGCAACACACTCAGCCAAAAAGGCTTTGCTACATGTCATGATCTGCAAAACGAATACTCCATGACATCACTGAGTCAACTATCCCAAGGAAGGAGCTGTATGAAGGTAGAAAGGAAACAAGAAAAAATAGTTTAAAAAAAAAAAAACTCAAGAAACATAACCCTAAATAAAACTGGAAATACTCACTTTCAGTTTGTAAAGACTTTTCAAGTATGAAGAACTTTCTTTCCCTTTCAAGCCACAATGAAACATTTTCACAATCAAGAAAGTCCTGATCAATGGTTTCATTTCCGTTGAGGGATGCTTGTTTCACGTAATCAGACTGTACCTACTTAGGGAATATCAGGTCTGTAAGTCACAACCTACCGTGATAGGATGTGCCCATTTCTTCAGAAACTTAGACTACTAACTTTTACCTAGGCACTGACTAGCAGGTAGTCACGAGAGTAGGCATACTCGTATCCGGCTGGCCTGAGCTGAGCAGGTGTATGTACCCACAGGCCTGTGATGCAGGAAAATCCTGTTTATCCCAGGTGCCCTGGCTACAGCACTTGGGGAGAGAGGGATAAGCAAGGCCCACCTCTGCTTCTACTGAAACTGGGTGACTCCCACATATGTAAAATGCAAAATGGACTAACAATCATTCAGCAGAGCAAAATTCAGACATCAATGCTCCCACCAAACCTGTGAACTCATCCAATTTCACTCCACCCTTCACCTTCTGTCTCACAACATACACCCACACACACACAGGAGGGTAGGTAGGGACTGACCCCGAGAAACTTAACATGGGTGTTCCCTGGGATGTACATGGCAGAAGGCAATTGTAGTGTGAGGTCTTAAAGCCAAAGGTCAGGATTTAAGTCCCGGCTCTGCAAACGGGGTGGTATAGACTCTGGGCAAGTTATTTAATCCAAGCCTCAGTGTTCACTGTAAAGTGGAGACTAATACTACCTGCCTCACAGGGCTGCTGCCAATGTGATGAAATCAGTTAATCCACAGAAAGCATTCAAAATACCAACCAGCAGGTAGTGAGGTTCTACTATTCTATGTGTATAATGAGAGTGATTCTGACTTGTATGGGTTCCAAAGGTGATTTAAGTATCCTTTACATTCCTTTTTTACTCCTCAAGGAAGTTATCTGAAATCAGCTCTAACAGCTGATTATGTATTTCTAGATTAAAATCAACCTGTATTATAAGCCTGAAAATTGCCAATTCTGTCGCCAAACTGAAGAAAGCATTATGAACTGAAAGGTGCGAGCTTAACATAACAGAATCTTATATAAAAAAAAAAAAGTATTAATTAGATTTCCCATTCAGGCTAAGCCAGGATGAGATCATGAAGTCACTCACGGTAACCAGGTCCCTGTGCTGGAAGTGTGCTTTTCCAGTGAATGGCAAAATACTAACAAAAGAGACCTTTGACTCAAATACCGCTGGTACCCGGGGTCTTGTGTCTGTATAATGCCTACACATTCATTTCTTTCTTTGCCTATAGAAAAAAGAAAGTCTGTTTGTTTTTTCTGATTCAGTCAGCCCTTTTCGTCTTTGAATCTAAGGAGACTCCTGAAAAGACTGCATCTTATCAGCATGCTCCAGCCAGCAGGCTGTCCCCCTCCACACACAAGAGGCCAGCCTCTCTCAGCAAAAGGCCTCACCCTCAGAGCCTTTTCCCATTTCAGAGCTAATACCCTGCTGGGTTTTGACAACAAATAAATGAATACACAAGGCCCTAACATAATTAGCCATCTTTTCAGGTAGAGAGAGGTGGGGGGGGGGGGGGGGGGGGAGAATACTTAGTGTAAATTGGCTTCACTTCTGAAGTTGACGCTAGCACAAGGCATCTGAGGGGCACTTATTTTAAAGAAAGCCACATGAAGTGAGTTTTAGAGATGCTGTTGGTGAATCCTGGCAATCTGGACACTGATGTCAGCCAAGTCATCAGTACAGATTGTAATTTTGTAATCCACTGATTGGACTTCTTAATCCAGGTGAAAGTGGCTGGGGCTTGGACACGGTGGGCATGAAAACCAGGGACATTTACCTCTTTTAAAGGGAAATTTAACAAAGAAAAGATCCAAAGAGAAGAAAATAGAGAATGGTACTTTTTGACACGGTGGAAACATTTCAGATGGACTGATGCTGGGACAGAGGGTTTTTTCTCTCTTCTCCTTTTCTTTCTTTCTTCTTCTTCTTTAAAAAAACAAACAACAAAAAAAAAACAAAGACAGGGGGAACAACAATCCTATGAACAGCCACAAGAAAGTCACCAGGCATCACTGCCACGCATCTGGATCTTAATGGAACCACAGTTTACATGGAGGGATACGGTTTGCTGGTATCATTACTGGGATAACTTAATTGATCTGTCTCTGTGGCTGAAGCTGTAGACTAGAGATTTATTATGGAGGGAAAGGCTCTGCAATACTGTTCAGTTTTTTTTTTTTTCAACAAGCATTCTGCCACTGACCTCTAAATGAATTTAACCTTTTCTAAACAGACCTGCACATTTTTAACATAATTTAGAGCTAGGTTTTGTTATTGCTGCTGCTGAGGCTGTGGGATTTATCACAACATGGCTTCAGTAACCTTCTTTCAAAAACAAAAGACCGAAACTAAAACCTGACAGTTGCACTCCTTTTCCAGGCAGGGGACGCGGATCTAACCTTTTAAGTGCCTTTGGCGTTCAATCTGTTAGAAAATGTATGAAACAAAATTAGAATAGGAAAAGGCGTGTGTATGACTCAGGCGTATCCCAGTATCTCTGTCACAGGATTTCCCTGTTTCTGAAAACCTTGAGAAAGTGACAGAAGTTCCTGGTTTTCTTTTTCTTCTCTTAAAAAAAAAAAAAAGGGGGCGCGCGCGAATACACACACACACACACACACACACACACACACACACACACACACACACACACACTCACATACGTCTTCCGGGTTCCCTATGAATCAGACAGGTTTCTTGGAGGTCCCCAGTGCAATGCAAAACGGTGTCCCCACTTATTCCGGGCTCCTCCGCACACAAAGGTCTCCAGGAAAATCCCAAACTTGTTGCGGGCCGACGGAGCCCCTGGCCGCGCGCCGGGCCGTCCCACCTCTCCGCCCGTCCTGGTCCCCCCGGCATCTCCCCGCCCGCCGCCTCCTTCCGAAACACGGTCACCGCCCCGCCCGGTCGGCGCAGGCCCGGGGAGCGCGGCAGCCTCACCTGCTTGCGGTAGGGCGTCCTGCAGCCGCCGGCGGCGCCGGGGTGGCCGCTGCCGCTGGGGAAGATCATCGCGGGCGCGGGGCGCGGGGCGCTGGGGAGAGGCGGGCCGCGGCGCTCCGGGAACTCCCTCTTGCCTGTCCGGGCCGGCGGAGGCTGCGGCCGGGGACTGGCTCGCGGCTCCCGCCCTAAAAGTGCGGCGCGGCGCGCGCGGCCGGCGACTCTCGAGCAGCTCCGGGGGCCGCCGCCCTGCGTGCCATGGACCGGAGTTCGCGCGCGGTGCCGGCGGCAGCGGACGAGCAGCGCCGCCGCGTCCCCACCTCCCGCCGCCTCAACCACCGCCCCGAGAGCGCGCCGACCGGGGGCGGGGAAGCGGCCGCGCACCGCCTTGTGCCGCGCCCAGCCCTCCCGCGCCTCCCGCCCGCCCGCTCGCTCGCTCGCTCGCCGGCCGCGCCCCGCTCCCCCGGCCTCGGCCCCCGCGCTCGGCCTCCCCGGCTGGGGCGGCAACCGGGACTGCGCGGCGCCCCCATCCCGTGCAATGGTTGGGTCTGGCGCCCCGCGTGCCGCACATTCCTGGGAGCAGCCACCCCAGGCCCTTTGGCGATGCTTCGCCAGGGCTTCGCGCCCCACTTGGTAGCCCCTTTTAAGGGCATCGCTTCGGGAACCGCTGGAACACCTGGATAGGAAGCCAACTGGCCGCCTTTTCTTTCATCTTCCCCATCAGCCCCAGTTCCCGAAAAGGCGCGGATAATTACTCCCACTTCCCGGTACAAATCAGCCGTCCAGCACACCTCTTCGTCCCCCAAATCGCATGCTACATTTTTGCAGAGCAAACGGGTTTTTCCTCTCCAGTCCCTCACCCAAATACGCCCGGGAAAGTTTTCAATTTCATTCTTGTGCCGCAGAGGAAGAGTTGTCCTTTAAAACGACAGTATCAAAAAAGCAGTGAAAATCATATAAGCCATCTGAGTGGGAGATGTGTCCTTCCTGAAAACGACACAAGTGGATAGGAATGCGTCCTCAACTTAGTTCCTAAAGACGACGACAGGGCAAGAAAGGCACAAAGACAGGAGTAATTTCCTTTGTTCCCAGGTGGAAAAAAATAAAAACCGCTTTTCCCCCCGCGGTCCTTTTCTCAGTCACCTCTCTGAATGTATCACGCTTTGAACCTGTGTGATGGGGAAACCTCAAAAGCGGGTGGTCATGACATGCATGCCACTTCTGGATAGGGCTGATTGCCATCTTTAAATTGGCGGGCTCCCTAGTGAGTATTCCAGTATCCCGGGATTACATCCATGGTACACACACACACACAGGTCTTCCTTGGCTTCTAGCATCTTCCTGGAAAGGCCCATCTGCTATGATAATGAAAAAATCCCAGCTTGTCTAACAAGTGAAGGGACTCAACTTCTGGCTGTCACAATGGAAGCAGTGAACGCCAACTTTCTAGCAAAAGTGAGGCCATGCAGAAGCTTTTCTGACAAACAGTAAGTTGAAAAATATACTTCCCAGATATCCTGCTGCTGACCTGGTAAACTGCCTCCATAATCCCTGAAGCCCCAGCAAAAGTAACAAGAAATAGATAGTAAGTCTCTCCTACTGAGAGCAGACACACACACACACACACACACACACACACACACACACACACACACCCCTAATTCTCTTCACTTACTTTTTTTTTTTTAAAGGAGCAAAGGATAAGGTCCTTGGTGCTCAATGGCAAGTAAGAACTTTCTCCGTAAAATCTGCAGGCTATCTGCCCCTTAAAGAGTTTCAAGATCACAGCACAGCTTAGCCTGGGAAGCAGTGGGGAGACCAGAACTCTCTTCCACTACTCTGTGCGTGCAGTTGCTGTCTCTTGTCATTATGACCCAGCACAAATATAAAATGGGCTGTTTTAGTTCCAACTGTTCAGGTCAAAGCTGCCTTTTCCTGAGGACTGACTGCCCAACACACACGCTGTCCTCCAAACCACCACCACCACGATGCCGACCAGACATCTATGGAAAAGGCCCCTGCACAACCTCAGTTGTAGGGACTGGTCTCTTAGGAAACCACAATCAAAACCACAGGAGAGCAGCATTAATTTTTTTTATGGCTTTCTTCTCAAGTCATGATGCACTTGCTGGGTCATGACCCATTGGATGCTGTTCTATTCTAAAATGTTAACATGCGATTGGATAGTAGTTCTCTAGAGATAAGAAGAAAATGTTAGTTGATAACCAAATTTAAAGACATGATCAAAAAAAATCTGATACTAGTAAAATGTGCAAAAAAAATATTGAAAGAACAAGGACCGACTTTTAGCCTGGAAAAAAAATCTAAGAATTAACAGCATGTAGTTTATAGTATCACATAAAGTGCTTAAAAATAGAAAACAGAGGCATGTGTTAAAAAAAAATGTACACTTGGGTTCAGAAGTTCCAAACATAAGTAGACCTAGAATCTTATCTACAAAGCATTAATACAAAGAAGAAAAGATTGATCTTCCTCAAAATGTATAAAAGGTAGAGAGGTCACTCAATTCCGAAATATCCAACTTAAGGGAAATAGCAGGAATGTGAAACCATGTATATAATATATACAATCAATGATAATCCATGTGCAAGTAGCTGTAAGAGCAATGGCAGGGATGGAGTCTAGTGAGGTCCATCTAGAAAAACCGACTTTTATTATTTTTTTCTAAGTAAGAGATGTGTCTTAAAACAGAAAGTGAAGAAACAGACCAGAGAGACCTCCAGCTGCTAAGGTGAGACTCGGTGCTATGGAGCCTGTGGAGCCTCTTTGTAGGGAAAGGGAGACTACAGTAGCCTGAGCTAGCTGCCTACCTCCTCCTCCCCCACCCTCAGCCCTAGGTAAAGCTGTGGGAACCTGACCCAAGGGGCAGGCCATCCACAGACTGGCCAGTGACCTATGATCTGGGTGGGATTGAAAACATGAACACGCCAATCTGATTCTCACCCATGGGAATTTGATTCAGAAAACTCCTAGGGCTAAACCAGTTAGTAAAGAGACAGAAACAACTAGAGTGCCTGGGGGTAGAGAGGAGGCCACAGCAAGCCAAAACCATATGCAAGCCAAGGTTATGAGGAAGCAGAAACTATGAGTAAACAGGAAGCCGACTGGCAGCAGACGGGAGAATAGCAGAGCAGACACCAGGAGCCCTGAGCACTTGGTGGCGAGATAGATGATGGAGGGAGTCCCTGGAGAGGTTTGGCTCATCAGAGTAGCAGCCCCCTCAAACACTGTATATATACTTAAACCACACCCCTGTTTAGATGAGTTGAAAGAATTTCTTGTCTCTTTGTAACACACGAGACAGAGCAGAGCTGAACATATCTGACTCCATATTTCAGTTCCCCACTCACTCGACATACAATTTAGGACAAGCTAGTTGGGGTCTCTGTGTCTCAAGATGGTCTTCACAGGATTGCTTTAAGTACAGTGTTACATCAAAAAGGTTCCAGGCTCAATAAATGGCAGCTGCTAGTATTGTCTTCCAGGTTTTATAGCAGTGGAGGGTGGTATAATATCTAATGCTTGCATAGTTAAGTGTGGAAGACCGTCAAAGAACAGAAGGGAGGGGACATTGGTATTCCATGGCAAGTAACAGCCACATTTAGCTAAGAGGAGGTCATTTTCAATACCCGCTTGTTGGACAGCTGAATGAAAATGTCTTCTAAGACCATCCAACTACAGAGACTATCACCAAGAAAAGAATCAGTTTGATGAGGTGTCTGTTTCAAGAGCCTAGCTCCACTGAAGATTTTCTCCCTTGTTCTCCAGTCTCCTCTTAAGAAGCTGTATGTGAGAGCCATTTCACGACTAGGAAGACCGAGCAGTATCCAAGATCACACTGTGGGGCAGGTCTACAGGCAAGGATAATGACAATGGAGCAACCAGGACAAGCACAAGCCTGTGTGCTAGCAGGGGAGATGAGACACGGGTCATGATGCCTTCCGTGATAGCAAAGAGCTTGCACAACTGGAATCTGAGGATGACATTAGAAGACGTTCATCCTACGGAAACCACGGGAAACCAAGACTTTGGTTTTTCACATTTCACTTTCACAACGACCCCGGGAGGGTAGAGGGGTTGTAAAACATACAATGCAGAGGAGCAAGGGAAAGGTAAAGAAAACTGACTTGCCTACCTGTTGAGGTCCTAAGTAATAAGAAGAGTAATGTTAAAAATCGAGACCTGGGTAGGTTCAAAGACGGAGCCCTGACCTTTCTCAAGATCTGTAATGTTGCATCTCAAAAGAAAAGACGTGTCTCAAGTTCCTAGATGTTAAGATGTGTAACCTCTGCAGCAGCAATACAAGGCCTTAAGTGGTAAGTGCCGGGCAAGTGGTCTAGACTGCAGTGTGCTGTGGGAGTCCACAGCAGGGGAGATCGATACAGGATATAACATGGGTGTGGAAGGCTCGGCTCCATAAATGTTTTGTTTGGGAGCATGCTCAGAAGGAAGCACTGTGCGGAAGAGCAGGAAAAACAGACCTGGACACGGTCTGTGGGGTAGTCAAAGCTGAGATCATTGCTGGGAAGAATCAAAACCCCCAAGGATTCCTACCCTGAAACTTAACGGATCTCCATACTATTGAGCCTCTTTTAAGAGAGGAACATGTGGGTGATTCGACTAAAAGTAAAAACAAACAAGATCAGTGGGGCTGAGGGATATCTCCGTTTGTAAAGTGTCTACCATGCAAGCTTAACGTGAGTTCGGTGCCTAGCAGCCATGTAAAACACGAAGTGTGGTGGAGCGTGATCCTCGGGCTTGCTGATCACCCAGTCATGTGGCTGGTGAGCTCCAGCCACATGAAAGACCCTGTCTCAAAAGAGGTGAAGGGTGCTCTTAAGGCTGACTCCCAAGGTCATCCACAGGCAAGCATATGCACACGCATGTGTATGAACACATCCATGCATGCACACTCGCATTAACAGAAGACAGTCCAAAGTACGGTGATGGAGCTAACTTCTGATAGGCTGTCCAACAAGATAAGATAGCTCTTATATAGCATACCTCTACAAGTAAAGGTCTACAGTGGCTTCTGTCCTCGTACCACATACTAAAACACTGGAAGGACCCTGTTTTATTTGGGTCAATTGAGGACTGAAAGGAAAAACAAAAACTCATTTAACATTGTTCTAAATCACAACCTTTAATGCTTAAAAAGTAATAGTATAGCATTGGTTAGTATAAGTCATTTGCATGAAAAAAATCTTATTTAAGAGTTTAAAAGCTCACAAAACTTCTGACTGACTACTAGCAAAATAGAAGTAAAAATATGAGATCAACAAATTC